TGTAGCAGGATATCTGACGAAATATCAGTGGCCTCTCAAGAGTTCCAGTCTAAATCCACATGACTTTGCTGTTTGGGGTAACTTAAAGGAGAAGTTGAGAAGCAAGAAGATTAGCATTGTAAATGGCTTTGAAAATTCAAAAGAGCATAGAACGAGATCCGGAGTACCTGCGGCACTTTATGATACCCCGAATGAAGGCATATGTGAGAGCCAAAGGTGGACATTTCGAGCAATTTATATAAGTTATGTGGAACTGTGTTTCTCTGTTTACTTTATTGAAAAATTAGTGTCAACAAGTGTGTTCAGAAGAAAAAGTAAAGTTTTTAGGCGCTTCTTCCAATACTTCTCAGCTATTTTTCATAGCTTTGAGATAAGTAAGCTGTTTCCATTTGTGAAAAACTGTCGACTGCCTTATAATACTATGCTTTCATGCTGCAGCGGGATCAGTCTGGGATGCTGGGTAATCGTTCAAAGCATACCCGTATTGGTTGATTTTACCAGCACGTCGTAACTCACATGGGTATCGCCAAATTCTTTCCCCTCACACAAGCTCACGCGAAAGCTTCTGATTTTTTGAAAAAAAGAGGTCTATAACCACAGAAAGCAGGGATTCACCTACCTTAGCTTGCACATTATACTGTGAAGTGAGAAGCTTTTTGCTAACGTCAAAAATCGAGACTGTTAGTGTTGCCCTCTGACCAGTAGTTCAAACTTTATGGTTAGCTGCATCGCCAGAGTTTTCCAGCAAAATTTTGAGCATAAATATAAAATATAGATGCGAAAAGACTAGCGGACTCACTTCCATACAAGTGCTTCAGTTCATCCGAGCCATGTAGCCTTGACCATACCGTAATCGGATAAGCAGTAGCTCTGAAGAGTAGGGGCGGGAGAGTGCGCGAATCGTCGAAAGAGACAGTCTGCTGGCTGCGCATTCTTCAGCCATCTCAAGATGGCTGGTTTGAAGTTTTCCATATCAAATCTTCTGTCGGAGTCTTGCCGTCAGCCACTGGCTCAGTCGAACAGCTTGCTGGGATCGGCACAGATCGATAAGGGTAATGCATGGAAAACATCGGATTGCAGTAGTGATGGTAAGTTTTTCAGGGTCTAAACAACCTTTTTTGACACTAACAAACCTTATTTAGAAAAGAAGAGCAGGATTTCTTGCCAAGAATGTGGCAAAATCTTCAACGCACAGTATAATTTGAATCGACATATGCCCGTCCATACCGGGGTTCGACCATTCACCTGCAAGGTAACTATTGGGTGGATGTATAATTCTTCCAAAATTTTGAATTTTTTTCTACTTTCTCCAGCTTCCTAGAGATTTTTGATGACAAATAATAGGAAGAAGAAAATCATTTCAGGTTGTGCTTGAGTTAAAACTCCTTGAGGACATATGGCAGCGATATAAGATGTTTAAGAGAAATAGCCAAAAAGTAATTTTTCGAATTTTTGTGTGGTAAATTTGCTAAAACTCCTACTAAAATATGAATCTGTGTCCAGTCGTCTTTTATGACCTACTCTTGCGGACTAATAGACGTGGTAGGTTGGATGTCCCGAGGAATAGTTATGAA